TAGGGAAACTTTTGGAAAGTAGGCACATTTTTAAAAGGGAGCTTTAAAATTATATTTATGTAAAGTAAAAACATGTATACAGAATTAGTGCACTTTTGTAAAGTGAGGACATTTATGGAAATAGAGAATATACTGAACATATATGACATCTATTTAAGTGGAGGCATTTTTATAAAGTGAGGACATTTTCCTAGGAAAGAGTTCATATTTGAAAAGGGAGGACAAGTTTTGCGATCAGATGAGCAGACACACTTTTCCAGAAGTGAAATATATAAAATAATTATAATAACTTCTTAACTGTTTGAACAGAGAATGAGCTCGGAGAGACCGCTTTGGATGTTAGCCGCAGGTTGAAGCATGGCCACTGTGAGGCGCTGGTGAGTCCAACACTGATCATAGTGACGCTTCTTTACTTGTGAGTGTTTGCCACTTACTGCATGTGTGTGTTTGTATACAGCTACAGCAGGCCCAGTCCAACCAGTTTGGCCACCATGTCCATGTGGAGTACGAGTGGAGGCTTCGTCATGACGATATCTATGACAGTGATGATGACGTTGATGACAAGGTAACCATGGCAACCAACAGCCTGCTAATTTATCTGCTTTGTTTTTTAAAGAAACACATCAAGGATGACTGCTGTAGACTGGTGTTCATGCCACAGGTGCTGAGCTAACATTAAATATTCTTTTTTTTCTGCTTTTGATTTAATTTTCTGGATTAAATTTGTCGACGGTAGATTATACAGCAGTCAAGAAAATGAATGTCTACACTGTAGACTCTATAGTTAGGAAGCGTTTTGCATTCTCTCCACTCTATCTTAGATATCAAGGTAGCAGAAGTTTTAAAGGGAGGATATTTTAAAAAAATATTTATCAATTTGTAGTTTAGTCAAGACACTGATATTAAAGTTTAAACCGTTTATTGCAAAAATAATGCCCATAATTTTTGTTGTGCAACTTTGCTGCTAGCAGTGAACTGACCCCTCTCATCCTCTGTTTCAGAACGGTCTGGTGAAGAAGGAGCGGTCCTCCTCCTCTTCGTCTGCTTCCTTCACCTCCTCCTTCTCCTTCAGCTCTCGTCCCTTCAGCTTCAGTCAGTCCGGGTCCTCCTCTAGCACCCCACTTTCCTCTGGAGCAGCGGGAGGACCAGGAGGACTGCTAAGTGTTGGGAGGAGACTTGCCATGGCCATGGAGCTCCACAGCCGACCCTCTGGCTCCGTTCCCAGCCCTCCTCCACCTCCCCCATCCTCCCCTGCACCCCCGCTACCCCCCAGGTTCAAAGGTGAGCTCAGGTTCACGTAGATGTTTTTATTTTGACATCTGAAATGGTTCAAGGCCTTTTTTTTTTGTTTCACCTGGCAAACGTTTCCTGACCTGACTATAGGTTAGGGGTCCAGACTCGTTCATTTCAGTATAATGTGCAGTTCCTCAGAAGTTATTCTCTCACACCAACAAAATTTTGTCCTCATGGACAAATTATGATGCACTGTGGCTCTGGGGCAAAGGCACGTAAAAGCCCCCCTTCCCCCCAGCTTGAAAGAGACTCCTTGTGGTAGTTTTGTCACTTTTTATTCTTTTTATTCATTCTGCATTGCTGAGGTTGTTTTGTCTATATTTGTTGTTTTGCATGTTTTGGTCATTTTGCTTTCTTAGTATTTAGTTGGGGCTGTTTTGCATCTCTGCATTTTTGTCTCTTTTCAATCATTTTTCATCTTTTTGTGGCTGGTTTTTTTTCTTTTTTTTTTTTTTTTTTTTTTACCTTTGTGTCTCTTTATCATCATTTGATCAACTTCCTAAAAAGAAATGTGGTCACTTCATACAGACACTCTGGTACAGGGGCCCGACCTGTACTTATTACTGACAATATATATTTAATATGACACGCATGCAGGAAGTCTTGAGTTCTGTGACTGGAGTAGATGTGATTAGAAACAATAAATGAGCACAGTATTAGTTTTAGTATTTTTCCGAGTGAATATAACACATCTCTGCTGCTGTACTGATTGAATTATGAATCTGAAGTTATGCTAAATTTATCAACACAGCAGGTGGAGAAATGTGGAGGAAGTGTTGAGGAATGAAAAGGGGATGCTTCTTACTAAAATATGATCACAGATTCTCATAAACAGGAAATTATAAATAAAAACCTTATTCTGAAATCCAACATCTATCTTCCCTCTCTGCTCTGTGTCATCCTGTAGCTCCCAGTGTTCCTCCTCCTCCCCTTCCAGCAGGGGGGGAGGGAGTGATGGAGGAAGAGCTGGAAGAGGGAGAGGTCTTCTCCCCCCTGACAGGAAACCGAAAGTTGACCACTCCCCCTCCCATCGCTGTCCGACAAAAAAGGAGCTCCTCTGAATCCAGCAAACACGGTAACATCTGACAGACAGGCTGCAATTAATCTGTCTGAGTGATACTGTGTAATTACTGTGTGTGTGATTGTGTGTAGATTATGGGTTGCCAGCCAGTCCCAGGATCTACAGCAGTCCAGACTCGTCCTTTAAGAAGTATGTGTGAGTATCTGAGACACAATCACACCGAATTTAAACATAAACTCCCAGTATATTAGAATAGATGTACCCAAGGGAGTGAGTGGAATGATGCTGCCTTCATGAAAAAGAGATTTTAATTTTCATCCTGATTAATACAGGAAAATAAGTATGGCTGCACACAGATTAACCAACCTGCTAATTTATACAGGATTTACTTTTAATTTGTCACCCATGTGTGCATCTGGGTGGATTCTTTGGATTAGATGGATGCAGATATAAAACCATGGAGTACTGAGCTCGAATGAAGAGCTAAAACATATGATATAAAAGAAGTGAAGAGGGTTTGTAAGCAGGAACAAGCTTCATCATCTGAACTGAGACAATGCACTGACCTCTAGTGGCCTGAGGCTGAATATTAGTCTTCATATTGAGGTTTGATGAAAACACCACAGATAATAAACTTGTCTGCCTCTCTCTCTCTCCAGTCCAGCTTCTCCCCTCGGCTCACTCATTGAACGACCCGGCAGAGGTAGTTCCTGTTTTCTAATGACCATCTCAGTTTAGTGTGGGGTCTGATGAAACTGTCATGTAACTATGATAAGGTCCATAGTCTCTAACCAGGGGAGGGGGAACTGTGTGGGTGGGTGGGGCATCCAATCTGATTATTAAGTGTAGTCTAAATACTTTATTGCAGAGGTGCATCAGTGTATTGGTTAATCAATTAGAGGGAATATTCACCAGTAAAGTTCTAAATGGATAGCTTGGAGGTTAACACTTCTATTCAGCAGGTTGGGGTTTGAGTCTCTATCAAGGTGTGATAGATCGTAGGAAGTAAGGTGGGAGGGGAGATAGACAGGGGAGGGGATAGACGGTGAGAGGGAAGACAGACAAGAGGTATGATGGGAGGGAGGATAGACAGGGGGTAAGATAAAGGGGAGGATAGACAGGGGGTAAGATAGAGGGGAGGATAGACTATCTCCCCCCCAGACCTCCCCTACCTGTCTTCCCTTCCACTATTTTAGGAATGCTCTCACCTTCTTCAGATAATGAAGTTAAATTTCCAACTTCAGTTTTTCATTTCATCTTCCATAATTATTCAGCATTGCATCTCAGCCTTCAGCTGGTTAAGCAATGGATTTCAGCCATTTCATCAATCAACATCCACATGTGTTTTCTTCAGGAAATGCATTTGTCTAGTTGTCTGTTTCTCCATGAGCTACAAATTCTATAAATAACATTGTAATATTTACATCAATGTCTCTCTTGCTGAGGTTTTCGGAGAGCGGACAGTGAAGGTAGCTCCTCCCACATCCTGCAACATGCTACTAAAGCTCCGCCCAGTGAGTCTCCCACCAGTCAGCGCTCTCAGAGCTTTGAGAGTGGCAGCAGAGGCTCCGCCCCCCAACCACTTCCTCGCCGGACATTGGTGAGTTAAAAAAAAACACAACTGTTAAATGAAGAGATTACGTTTAGTTTCACAGTAGATAATGAATTCAGTCCATCTTTGCTTTAGAAATGAGTCTGGTCTTTGCTTGTAAATTAAACTAATCACAACTTTGTCTGCATAAAATAGTCTAGTTCAGTCACTGTTTCACTGTTGGAGGCCAGAACAAATAATGTCTCAACCTTAGTTAACTAAGCTCCCTACAATTCTGGCATGCAAAGGGACATGATTAACTGATTCCTGAAAATCTTAATGTGATAATTGTCTAACACAAAATCTATAAGTAGTTCTTTTTAAGCTTTGTGATAATGTCAGTTAAGTCTTCCTTCCACAGAAGTCATTGTTGCACATGAAATGATTTTTCTTTCCTTCATTTCATTTGAATACTTGCATCAAATGCTGAATTCTATATTTTTGTGCATTTTATCCCTAAGGAGGAATAGATGCATAATCTTCCACTCTTAGTTTTCATTCAAACTGTTATTAACCTTTTAGTGCATCATAATATTACTGCTCTAAAATTGCTTAACTGCTTAATAGCTAGTTTTCCTTGCCTGCTGCCAAGAGTAGCACTTGTATTACTGCCTCAGTGACTGCTGCTAATACATTCAGCAGTACACGCTTTGGTGGGGCAAGTACTGAGATCTTTTGCTTAAGTAAAACTCCCAGTAAAGTACCACAGTGCAAAATCAAGGTACTCCATTACAAGTTAAAATTGTGCATTTAAAATCCTGCTCAAATAATTATTATCAGACAAAAATATCTAAAGACCCAAAAGTATACCCCATTCTACTTGAATATTTGTTATATATTACATTATTAGATCATTACTGATGCAACAATGTGCTAATAACTATTAATATGTATTATTATTATTGTTAGTAGGAACAGTTCAGTATTATTTGCTCGTGTCCTTCAGGCTCGAAGCACAACAAATCGTCGGGTTCAGGCTCTATATGATTGCCAGGCGGACCATCACGATGAGCTGAGCTTCTCAGAGGGACAGGTGTTGGTGGTCCTGGGACAGGAGGACAGTGATTGGTGGGTACGTATCCTCATCGTACACTCTGATTGGTTCTCCTACTGGTGGGACAAGAAACTCTTACACTGTGACCTTAGCTGTCCTCAGAGTTGGTGAGTGTACCTGTTATTCCAGTGGTGGGACTTAACTGACTGCAGTACATTCACTCAAGTACTGAACTTAACTACAAATTTGAGGTACTTGTACTTTGAGAATTTCCAGCTTATACTCCACTACATCTCAGAGGTATATATTGTACTTTTACACCACTATATCTGTCTGATACCTTTAGTTACTTTTCGAATTATTTCTGAAATGTTGTGCAGTTGAAGTAAGAAGAAGCAGAAAATGAAAATACTCAAGTACAAATACCTCAAAACTGGACTTGCGTACAACATTGAGTAAATGTACTTACAGCTTTTAACCGTAAAACACAGAGAACATTTTTCTGCATGAGTATTTTTACTTTTGATGCTGATAATACTAAGCATACTTTTAGCTTTTACTTGGAATGGAGTATTTTCTTAGTGCGCTATTGTTGCATTTATTTAAGTAAAGGATGTGAATACTTCTTCCACCACTGACCTGTTCATATTCACCTGACCCTGACTCTTTAAACATAAGTAGGCAGCAAGGTTCATTTCACTGGCTTAAACTCTAACAAAAAATATTCATTGAACATTTTTTCATGATGAATTTGAGACTAAATAAAAAGTAAAATACTAAATGAAAAATAGATGATGGCTCAAAATAAATGACCATATATTTTCTATTGCTAGTCTATGTATGGTCATGTTTCTCTAAATGTAATGGTGTCTGTGTGTGTGTGTGTGTGTGTGTGCGCAGCATGGCTATGTAGAAGATGAACCGGACCAGAGGGGTTTGTTTCCGTCGTCCTTCGTCCAGCTGCTCTCTGACTGACATGAACCCAGACAAGACCAGGATCCAGCCAGATCCAGACCAGATCAGAGCCTGGAGCTCAGAACCAAACTGGGTCAGTACTGAGCAGCAGAAGCTGAACCCTTGATCTTCAAAGGACCAGGACGGTGACCTAATCGGCTCTAGCATCCGGAGAGTTCACACGGTCCAGCCACTGTTCGCATTGTCATAGTAAATTATGCTCCGTCACCATGGAAACGTTACTAACAAACTATCTAGATCAGACTAGATATTTAGGTGGCTCTGGCCATATGGGAATGTTGCCATGGGGACAGACTCAGACTGATCAGCAATGATTCAAGGCTGATAATTTTATTTCAAACTTTTTTATAATGTGCACAGATAATGGCAGGTAATTTCAAGATAACTGGACTTTTATTTTGAAGTTAATCTGAATGACTATCCTGTTCTAATTTATTTAATGTATTTAAAGTTATTAATGCTGTGGCAATGCCACCAAAGGAGCTGCTACTGCCCTATTTCAGGCTTCACCGCCTTAGTGGGACGAGGCTTACAAGGGTCCAGCCTTCCGTGGACTGAGGGTGAGGCTCCTGAACCTGCTTGTTGGAAATAAATGAGATGTTCCACTGAGGAGTTACCAGGCCCAAAAAGACCAGTGGATGAAAAGCAGCCGTCTGCTCTAAATTCAGGTAAAATCAGTTGGTCCATAAACAGACTTCAGCTGAGGTGGGGCCTGAAATCGGACTCAGCAGAAGTTGATGCTTCCAGCTGCCTTCGATGTCTCCCTTAGTAAAGCTTGGTCACATTGTTTCTATTCTATAAAATCTACCTGTCCTCAGCCCCAAAACAGGATCTGATATCGCATATCTGATGCGGGTAGCCAATAAGTATTAATCAGAGCAAGCTATAGACTGCGACAGTACAATATGTAATTTGGTGGTGTGGTGATTTACTAAATATAGTGAAAAGACACTAGAATAATTTTCCTCCATGTCCAAACCTAGTGCAGTACACATCGCCTCAGTCAAGAGTGAACAAAAGGTAAACTGACCTGTAAATCCACCCGAGCTGGAGATCGCTGCAACAGAAAATGCATGTTAAACTTAGCTTTTTGGGGTTTAACAGAAGTGAATGGACTGAATATTCAGACAATGGGGGTGTAATGTGACCATGACTTGGGTGCAATAGTGTATTGTTGTCACTATTACAAAAAACTACATTTACTCAATTTATTGTTAATGTGGGGGGAAAAAAAATCTCCTTTTCATGTGACAAATTTTATTCAATGACATTTTCTTATTACTACATACAAAATTATTCAATTGATCAACAAACATTGTTTGAACAAAAAATATATCCCCAAAACTCTCATAATTACACAATACCAGCAAGTGCCATTAAAACACAATTTTCATAAGCATACCAACTTCACCTGTCCAACAACTGAATTATTTAGTATAACGTAATAAGAAAAATAATTAAAAAGATGAGAAACTGAGCTAAGTTTTTGGCATGGTGACAAAAGTACAGTACTGACAAACTTTTCTCATCTGTATTAGATTTTTTCACCATTTAACTCCAGTTTTATTTAAACAGAAACTAAGTCAATGTAAATTGTTTCCTATTTATTTTTCCAAAGTGACAGTGGTAGGTCCATGATTTTTTTTTTTGTGGTTTTCACTGAAATGTCACAGTGTTCCCATTTGTTTGGCATCTATAATGAAATAAGTGATGATCGTGGTTGTTTAATAAAACTGACTTTTTTGATAACGACTCGGTTTATACATGAGCTAAATCAAAGATAAGGGAGCATAGAGATGTACCAATCATTCGGAAACAGCTGGATTTCAGCACGATCAGCTTTGACCGGGGACCGGTCGATCGCTGCGAGTTCCGATCAGATTTAGAGGTACCACAGTCCACGTCATGCTTGCAGCGTGTGCAGTGCATAGCATCTCGAGCAAGACTGTTCACTCACGCGGTGAAGGCTCCTGGTGTACAAAAACACACCGTTTTCAAACAACAGACAGATGAACAAGCTAATCCAGGACTGACACCCTGACTGATATTAACAATTCATTGTCGGCTTTAGTCTCTGCACAGGAGAGTGTTAACCCTATAAAACCATTTGTATCATATTTGATATGTGAGGTTTCTGAGCAAAAAAAAAAAAATATCACCAAAAATGCCCCATGTATCAAATGTGATACAAAAGAAATAGAAATAATCTAAATAATATGGCACCTCTATTCCTATATGCCTGGACTGTCTGTCTATGCATATATGGCAAATAAAATTCATGAATCTTGAATTTCGAATCATGAATTATATTTTGGATTTTGTTAGAAGGTTTAATAAACATCTCAGTTCCAAAAATTAGAATGTTTTGGCTATTTTTTGATATGTTGGGTTTTACAGGGTTAAATACTGTTTAATGTAGAAATTGACCTGCCTTATCCTTTAACCTGCAAATCCCAAAACCTTGCGTCCACATGTCAGATCAGGATTTTGGAGGGCTGCTGCTCTGTCATTTAGTGGCTGATCTCCTTATTGACTTGTACGGTGGATAATGTCCCAGTTTACTAACAGGATGTCTTCCTGTAGAGGCCAAGAAAAAGTGTTAAATCTTAAAAGAAAAACTTCAAAACCAAGCCGATGTTTCAGGTTAAACCACATCTAAAAGCTCAGTTGGATTTTTAAAGAGGGTTAAACAAACTACACTCTATACTGCAACCCAACTAAACAGAGCAACAGCCTCCAACTGATAATTCAGCATTCATGATGATTTATAAGGCCTGAGTGTGCTTCAAACAAAGTGCTTGTTGGGGACACCTAGAAGTGTCTGAAAGCAAGAATCACAACCTCATTACACAGGTCAGATGTGTAGAGGTTTGTGAGTAAATGGTTTGAAAAATTTTTTTTTCTTCAAGCTCTAGTTTTTTCCCCTCTCTTACTTTCACTTTTCATGTGGGGAAAATACTGAATATTTTAGGGATGGGACAATATATTGAAAGTCACAATACGTTTCATTTTGTGTAGTGATAATTTTTGTGTGGTCTCCACAAACAGACTAGCAACTTATTTTTTGTAAATAAGCCTAACAAACTTAAGTCAATATCTGGTTCTTTACATAATCAAACCAGTGCTAGAAAAGGGGCAAAAGAGGAATAAAGTTAAAGTATTCCGCAGCTAGTCATACATTTTGAATTTTTAATTGTACTGTGATTGAACTGAATCGTACACGCCATATCGTGCATCGAATCGTATTGAGAAAGTCACATCGTCCCATCGCTAGAATGTTCACAAGGAGACAAAGCAAACGTATGTGACGTTACTCATGGCATCAACAACAACATTAGATACAACTGTTGAATTGGGGAGGCACTGTGATGCAGCCATTAGGGGGCTGTATGATAACAGGCTTGTTTATCCCACCAAAGCTAGGTAGAAATAACTTGACTTTGGATTCAGCCCAATAGCAATAAGTTTGTTTGAAGCAGACTTGGCATCCGTCTCAGGGCAGTTTCACACTGGCAGGCTGCTTTAAACCAGGAAGCAGTTCACCAAATGCTAAAATGAAAAAAAAAAAAAATAATAAAATAATTCTATGACAAAATATTTGTTGATGCCTTTCTTACACAAAGAAATGAGGAAAGCAAAATAAAATAACCTTTCAAAACAAACATGCATCACTTTTTGTTAACGTTATTAAAAACTACACAATAAATTTGTCTGAATGGACAGACTAATTATCAATTTAATTCCATCTTTGACCAAACAATACTTTGGACATTTGCCCCTGGACTAAAACAAACACAGTGTGAAAATGTCCTGAAACTCCTTATTGTGTAAACGAAGCCACAAACATTCAGACGACTGATAATCAGCAACAGTTTTTATAGAATCACAGTACAGGTTTAGCCCTCTGGATGCTGCCAGCCAGCAGGAAGTCCAGCAGTCAGCTGATCAACGCTCCTGCTACCTGTTGGGCAGGTCAGACTCATCATTCATACGGCTGGTTATTTTTGGTAGGACTTTTACTTTTTGTTTTTTGGGAAAGTACATTGCACTAAATCTTCCACTCATCCAAGCCACTAGTAATTGGATGCCTTTGTTCAATAAATATTTAATTCAATCTGTGCCCCATCTCATCATCAGCCGGGTTATGATTCGGGAATAATATTACACATAGTAAGTGTTCATGAAGTTAATCAGCCTGCAGCTTCACTCACTGAGGTACAGCTGCATTGCTGTTGATTTTGCTTTACCACTTACCATGAATGTTGTGGCAGAAAAATGTGATTGAAAACGAGTGCAGTTTATCACTGTTTAACTGTTCCTTTAAAGTAGGGATGTCAATGATAAATGAATTAGTTAGTAATTTTATCGATTAAAATTTGCATTAACCAACTGGGCAGAATACAAGGACATGCAGTGTTAACTGTCATAAAATGTGCTGGAGTTTGCTGTAGTAACCTGAGGTGTTTTTGGACCAGAGGAACTTTTTCCATAGTTCATAGAACTACTGAAAAAAGTACGCCCTTTTTTGTGGGCGTAATGGTAATAGTCCTTAGAACGTTTTTCCTAATTCAGGGCAGATATTCTCCAAGCACAAGAGGAACTATGAGTTACTTACAGTGAGAAACAGAAGTATGTGAACACCCTGCGATTTTGCAAGTTCTCCCACTTAGAAATCATGGAGGGGTCTGACATTCACATTGTAGGTGCATTCCCACTTTGAGAGACAGAATTTTTAAAAAAAATTCAGGAAATCACATTGAATGGTTTTTAAAGAATTTATTTGTCTAGCACTGCTGAATATAAGTATTTGAACACCTGAGAAACAGCAAGAATTCTGGCTCTCAAAGACCCGTTACTGTGCCTTGAAAAAGTCCACCTCTACTCCACTCAATCTAAATTAGTAGCACCTGTCTGAGCTCTTTAAAGACACCTGTCCACCCCACAGTCAGTCAGACGCCAACTACTACCATGGGCAAGACCAAAGAGCTGTCAAAAGACACCAGAGACAAAATTGTGGACCTCCACAAGGCTGGAAAGGGCTACGGGGCAATTGCCAAGCAGCTTGGTGAAAATAGATCAACTGTTGGAGCAATTGTTAGAAAATGGAAGAGGCTAAAGACGACTGTCAGTCTCCCTCGGACTGGGGCGCCATGCAAGATCTCACCTCGTGGGGTATCACTGATGATAAGAAAGGTGAGGAATCAGCCCAGAACGATAGGGAGGAGCTGGTCAATGACATGAAGAGAGCTGGGACCACAGTTTCAAAGGTCACTGTCAGTAGAACACTACGCCGTCATGGTTTCAAATCATGCATTGCACGGAAGGTTCCCCTGCTCAAGTCATCACATGTCCAGGCCCATCTGAAATTTGCCAAAGACCATCTGGATGATCCAGAGGAGGCATGGGAGAAAGTCATGTGGTCAGATGAGACCAAAGTAGAACCTTTTGGTCTAAACTTCACTCGTCGTGTTTGGAGGAAAAAGAAGGATGAGTTGCATCCCAAGAACACCATCCCTACTGTGAAGCATAGGGGTGGTAACATCATGCTTTGGGGGTGCTTTTCTGCAAAGGGGACAGGACGTCTGCACTGTATTAAGGAGAGGATGAATGGGGCCATTTATTGTGAGATTTTGAGCAACAACCTCCTTCCCTCAATCAGAGCATTGAAGATGGGTCGTGGCTGGGTCTTCCAACATGACAACGACCCGAAGCAGTAGGTGTAGGGAGTGCGCTTCACATGTTACCTACTGAACATAGAAGCCCTACCCATTAAGGAGCTCAGACAGGTGCTACTAATTTAGATTAATGAGTGGAGTAGAGGTGGACTTTTTCAAGGCACAGTAACAGGTCTTTGAGAGCCAGAATTCTTGCTGTTTCTCAGGTGTTCAAATACTTATGTTCAGCAGTGCAAGACAAATAAATTCTTTAAAAATCATACAATGTGATTTCCTGAAATTTTTTTTTAATTCTGTCTCTCAGAGTGGGAATGCACCTACAATGTGAATTTCAGACCCCTCCATGATTTCTAAGTGGGAGAACTTGCAAAATCGCAGGGTGTTCAAATACTTCTGTTCCTCAATGTAGGTGTACATTGACTGCAGCACGCTAGCTGTCTTTTTTTTTAAAACTGCATTAGCCATGTAAACAATAGGATCAACAGCAGAGGGTTAGTGGCTCCTTATATAATAACACTAGCAACATATAAGGAAAATACTTAGCAGTAATGTAATGTTACCATCTGTTAAAGTGCCCATGGCATGCTTTGTGTTTTCTGACTTATCTGCAATGCTACAATGATGAATTATCAAGCTCTAAAAACAAGGTGTACTTATGTTGTTGTACTTCCATGCAGAAGCAGCTCGGTTTATATACTGTAAGTCATGCGAACTCTCTCTGGCAAGACCCCCCCCACCAACAGGTAGCCTCACACCAACAATAACATCATGGGTCGTTAACCTGCAACACATCACATGTGGCAGTCAAAACAAACAGGTACTGTGCTCCGAGGGAATTTGGCCTTGATGAGCTAATCACTAACTGTGGTGCTGGCTTCACTGGCCAGCTGTGCTTGTAGGTTAGACCCAGTCAGGTAAAACAAGGAGTCCCTGTACAGCTCAGCATTCCCAGACATACAGTAACCTCAGGCTCTGTATTTTTCTCCACATCCTCTGGTCACAGTCCAGCAGCAGGAGGGAAACTATATTCGCAAAACTGGGCACAGTCAAAAAATTCTGCTTTTACAGTGGGCACCATGGATGTCCTTTTAAAGAAAAAGGAAAAAAAAAAAGCTTCATTGAAAACATATGTAACAAGGCAAAATAACATTGCGCCAAAATGGTGGAGGCATCGGTGGATGTCAGGTAAGCTCACATGAACGCGCAACAGCCTGGTTTTTACCCCCCTTCAAGGAGATCTTTAAACTATCACATAATACTTTGTTTTGGTGGAAAAAAAAAAGTCTCACGAGAGAGTTTACGAGATGCGTATAAACCGAATTACTTCTGCATAGAAACACTAGAACATACAGTACGTTCACCTCATTCTTTTGAGCTTTAGGTCATGTCTAAGATGAAAATCTACCGTTGTAACATTGTAGATAAGTCAAAAAACAAAAACAAGCATGCAATGGGCTCTTATTGTATTGTTTGCACATTTTCTACATGTTATTAATAGGGCTGGACCCAAATATTCAACTATTTGTTAATGGGGTAGGTAATTGTTTTAAATTTTAGTGCAGCAGTTGTGTTCTAAAGCACAAATAAACACACCCACTCCTATGTACAACCCTGCCAACTGGCCAGCTATCAATTTAAAATAATTGCATCCCTACTTTAAAAAAAAAAAAAATCTTACTAGTGTTTAGTTCATTTTAAACTGTAAACTCAGCCAAAAATCTGTCTGAAAGAACCTAAAGCAGGTTCCTCCCACTTATTGCCTCCATATATATATATATGTAATTGAGACAGGAAGTGATCTTACGAAGAGAGGAAAAAAAATAAAACTGCCTCCAGTTCCAGTATGTGAGAATCCTCTAGAACAGGGCGGTTTGTGTTAAGATAGACTAAATGGATGGATTATAAATGATATAAAAAGTCTTAATGTGGTTGAACAGAACATCACGGCTTCATTTTTTCCTTCAACGCAAAGTGCTTAGATTGGAGGGAAAAGCGGTTCTCCCTGCAAAGAGTCTATAAAACTCTATAATTAAAAAAAGTCCGTGGTTGTTTCCCGAATCACAGCAACATTTGTGTGGTCAATCCTCGCAGTCGCAAATGGCAGGACGGTCTGTTTGAATAGTGGAGAGTCCCAAAAAACAGTCTTTCCTTGTTTACGTTGAGCAGGAACTCATTTAAAGCAGCAGGAGTCTGCACAGGGATGAAACCAAGCAACACCTGGCAGCCAAAAGGTGGCACTTTTTCCTACCCCCACCCCCATGGCTTTGTCCACACATAAGTCAGGTTTTTAAAAAAATATCTCAGCCCAACAGCAGTCTCAATCCAGCATGCCAGGATGTCTTATTCAAAAATTGTGATGACTGACTTGCAAAACTACACGGGTCTGATTCCTGTCCAAATCCTCAAAAACGAGGCCAAATGTCGCAGCCATCTACTATCTAGAGCAGCTCAGGTTTGGTTTTACTTGCAGTGAGAGGAGAGCTAAGTGTGCTGACACCGTCTGCAGTTCAGCCGGTTTTTAGGTGAGGCTTCAGGGCTGTAGGTCTGACAGCACGTCAGTCCATTAGTTAGCATGTCTGCTGGTCTGGCTGTAGGTCAGCTGGTTGGTTGTCATGTCAGAGGTGCAAGGTGATCTTGCCTTCTTTGGCGAGTCGGTGGATGACGGACGCTTCGTACTCACCACTGTGAACATGAGTCTTCCTGAAGGCTCCAGCATTGGGATTGTTCTCCCAGTAGTGATGCCAGTTCCCCTTGCTGTCGGCACCGTAACCAAACACAGACACCTGAACAAAGGCAGAAACTGATGCAGTGATACATAACACAACCAAATATTACATGCTGTATAGTCAAAACATATTTTTGCACATTCGACAGACTAATACATTAGACTTAAGATGATGATGATCTTTAACCTCATCTTTCTGCCACAGCCTCCATCACGAAGAGAGATTATCGTAAATCTGGTTTTCTGGTACCATGGAGCTGTATCGCTTTTAGTGGGGTAGGTTAACAGACTAACCACCAAATCACGAGAATCAAATCTCTGGAAAAACTGAGCCACCATTATTACAGGATCCCCACAAGAACAAAAGAGTCTACTATAATATTTTTTATAGATCTGTCATGCTGCTTCGCTGCTCAAGACTTTTCATTAGTCACTTAGACAATTACAGCAGCCTTTTTACTGCACAAAGATTCTCTTATTCCTGACATGAATGCAATCTTTCAGAAAGACCTTAAGAGAATTTACTCAAATTGTCTCAGTGAGGAACTGATTAGGTTATGGCAGTCAAAGGTCAAGGTTACAATGCCCTTATTGTCTCCCCCCTATTGGTTGATTCAGGAATACAAAAGTTATTGATGAGGAAAAAAAAAGTGAATTTGTGTGTCCTTGAATGTGCTGTAGTTCTAGTCTTTGCTTCCAGCTACCTTACTACCATATGTGATGATGACTGAAAAACAAAGCTGACCACAAGTTGTGTTGAATGTGCACATTAGGAGGTAAAGACACCAACTCCATTTGCTCCCTCCTACCTGGTCACAGGTGTGCAGAGCAAAGATGATGGCCACCATGCCAGTGGATGGGTAGCGACCATTATGTTTGGTCCACTGATCATGAATGTACTTGAAGAACATCGGGTTCACCACCAAAACCTGCACACACAATGTTTATTTAAAGCACTTGATAAAGTATAAATCAATCATCTGAAAACATGCTAGCAAATGAATGCACTCAAATACAAAATTGTGAAAGTCATCTGAAATCTACAATGAAATTGCCTTTTCATAAACTTGTGAAGCAATCTATGAAGTGAGTGTCCTGAAGGGTAACATTTTAAGAACACCTTACACACACACACACACACTGTATATATATACTGTATATATAAATCAATTTATCAGAAATTTTCCAAAATGCAGCTTTAAATGAGCCAGTCTAAATATACGATATTTAAACCAGAGGAGAAGAATCTAAAACTAGAGTGAAACCTACAAAATGGAAAAGAAATGAATAAAGAAAATCTTAGAGGCACTAAGAAGTGAGATGACAACAGCATAAGCAGTGACAAAGACTTCATTTTTACCTTGTCTTTATCAGCCTCCACTCTGTCTTTAACCCTCATGTAGGTCCTGAACACATGCACACAAAAAAAGTGGTCAGAATAAGTAGTATTTAAAGCTACAGTATGTTTTTTTCATTTTATTTGTTGAAATGTACTCCAAAACGCATCTTAATGTGGAGATGTCAAAGCCTCCTGTGACAGACTCAGCAGCACTGGCAGCAGTAGATATTAGCTTCTAAAAAGGTTTTTCTGAGCAGGATTGACCTCTTTAACCAAGACAGGAACAACATGTGTAACCATGGTAACTGTACACAGCCAGGATAATATATGGCCTACAGTAAATAATAAAAATGTGGTTTAAAATTGGCAAATGTATTTAGTTACTATTGACAAACTAATAAATACTGAGACTAAAATTAATTTTCAGGCAGTGCAGTGGAGTGGTGATTAACTCTGTCCCCTCACAGCAAGAAAGTTCTGGGCTCAAGCCTGGGCCGACCCGGGGCCTTTCTATGTGGAGTTTGCATGTTCTCCCTGTGCCTGTGTGGGTTCTCTCTGGGTACTCTGGCTTCCTCCCACAGTCCAAAGACATGCAGCTTAGGTTGACTGACGACTGTAAATTGCCTGTAGGAGTGAGTCTGAGTGTGTGTGGTTGTCCGTCTACATGTCAGCCCTGTGATAGACTGGCGACCTGTCCAGGGTGGACCCCGCCTCTTGCCTAATGTTAGCTGGGATTGGGTCCAGCACCCCCGCGACCCTATTCAGGAATCAGCAGTATAGATAACAGATGGATGGACAATATGCATTTTCGTCAAAAGGCTAAAACAAAATCAAATTCAAGTATCAAAATTAGCTCTGGTGTGCAGGCCAAAAGTTTGTGTCTTCGCATATGGACTGCACATATGCCTGGAAACTATTGGCATACAGCGACAGAAGGCAGACCCTTGATTTGAAGTATAAAGAGGAACATGTGTCCATGAGTGTGCATGCAAAGCACTAATTCCCCTTTATTAGGGACTACCCCACTGAGGAGTTTGCCCCCCCCAAAAAACAATTACACACCTTCAGCTTTTTCTTTTTATATGAATTTGCACTGACAGTAGGAACACTTAAATGACTTAACACTAGGCAGCCCAACTGTTATCAATTAGCCAACAAGCTCAGTTACATTACCAGTAAGTTGTTTTTTTTTTTTTTTATATGTTGCTAACGTTAATTATATAAGGAGCCACTAACCCTCTCAGAGCCCTTTGTTGGTGGACTGCAGCTCCCCATGACACCAGCGAAGGCTGTTGTTTACATGGATAACAGTGCATGTTGCAGTCAACATACATGTACATCATTCGTGTTTCCTATTGAAGTAGGAGCTAAAAAAAAAAAAGTCCCTCAAATGGCGTTTTAAGAACTATTATCGTTCTCAGTTCCTGTGGTGCGGATACACAAAAAGGGGATACTTTGCCCAACATTTCTAAGAACTATGGAAAAGTTTCTCCAGTCCAAAAGTGCCTTATGTTTGCATCTGTATTTCATACATTTTGACCTTGCCGGTAGACAGTGCGCTGGTCAGCCACTCTAGGTCTCTCTGTTTGAACGGCAGTAGGACAAGGCTGACTCCAGGATTAATGTCCACTGCACTCTCCGGGTACATGAAGTGATGGGTCGTCCGGTTCCCAACATCTTTCTCAAACCCTTGAGTCACTGCCTTGTTCATCCTGGGGAGGAGGAAGATGAGGAGAGGAAGATGAGGAGCAAGGTTAAGGTGTGTGTGTTTGTGTGTGGACATACGCACCGGATCACCAAGTCATGGGTGTCTATTAGGTTGCCGTGTCCAGACTGTTGCAGGTTGCCGGAGTTCCCGACCACTGCGCAACTCCTGCAACGGGAGGGGAGGGGCCTGAAGTCCATAGTGGGCGGGGAAATGACTTGAAACATCTTTGATATCACTTTCTCTAGAGTCTGGTCTTTATCAGACTGTTGAAGACCCTGTGAAGCAGAAAATAAGTGGCATTAAATGTCTTATGTTCATATTGTGGTAGTCTAGCTAACTTAAAAAAAAATCCCAACAGTTCCATGCACTGTGTTAAAACTGCAATAACTAACCCCCCCCATTTCCTGCCTGTAAAAGGTGAATAATTACCATTTTCTTGAATTTGAAGATACCACTTTTAGATCTGGGAAACTGTAGCTCTAAAAATTTACAGCTACAGCAAATGGCTCTGGTTGCTAGTTTTCTTTAGCGCTCTCCCTCTCCCTCTCACACGCACAGAAATACAATATATTGCATACTGTGTGTCAGACTGATGATGTTAGCAGCATTTCCACCCCCTTTTTTAATCTACTAATGGTTTCTGCAGCAGGACTTAATCTATAAATGCAGGAAAAAGACGCTCGTCTTCTCATCCAGACTGCTGACAGCATCCTCAACCACACATTTTATGTTTTAATTTTCTGAAAACACCTTTTCAATTAAAACTGACCTTTTACTAAAACTCACTGTATGCACATCATGCAGTATGTTACAGATGCTTCTTTGGTCTTCCAATAACAAATCTGACTCTTGTGATTTGCTGATTCTTAATGTTATCAATTTAATGCTGCCAGGTCACTTCCAGTGTGCAAACTATAAATATTTTCTGAAACAAGCAGCACACTTCATTATTGCTCACGCACCACAGTCAGTTACTAAGGAAAGAAAGAAAGGAAAACCCAAAAATCTTTGGCGATTTATTTTGGTGTCAGTACAGATATCATGGTTATCTGCAGTTTTATCACTGACTGTGCTACGAAATGATGTTGGTACAAGAACTAAGATTTATACCTACATTATAAAGAATCAATTCAGCAGTGATTTCAGTTGCTTTGATACTTACAGTAAAGCTGCTACTGCCTACAACCTGTGCAAGTTGTATCACAGCTCCATCATTGTTTAATTAATTGAAGTGAGCTAGTTTCCAGTATTAAAACATGAAAATATTGAAGTGAGACGGTGAGCCAAAGAAAGGCTTTTACTTTGAAGTCCACACAAGTAGAAAGCAGCTAATCAATTCTGTGAACAAAACTTTGACAATAACCCTGACAGTTATCCTTTTTAAGCTGTCGAAATTTGGGTTGGCTTTCAAACCTCAAACTGATAAATCATGTAGGCGCACATTTGTATACCCAGTCTAAAAGGAAGAGAATCATTAACAGAGACCACACTGTTCCTACATTGTGCCCTTACCAGCCACCATCTGAGGGCATCGGGGTCAAAGCTGTTGTTGGCGACTCGGAGGACAGGCTGCTGTTGGGGGTCATAGTGTTGGCTGAACCAGTCCGACTTTCCCAGGTCAGAAATACAGGACCCAGAACAACCACAAGACCTGACAGAGGACGACAGAGGAATCAGACAGACAAGGACTGATGTGATGCACACAGCGCATGATCTCCTGTGTGTTACCTGAGGAATGTGTTTGTGTCAAGGGTCACAGGATCCATTGTGTGTTCAACCACTGCAAACACAAAAACAATCAGATAACACTGTTGGCATCTGTGATACAATCATAATACTGCTGCTACTGTCATCTACTAGTTTTGCTGTTACTGTTAGCATCTCTATACATTACAACAGCTAGGGGTTCACTACTGCTGGTAATAGTAGTGCAAGCAGCACTACTATTGTGTATACTACTGCTATCATTACCATTATTATTATTAATACATTTATCATTACTCCTACTGTTAAAATACTAACCATTACCATTGGTATCTTATGATAAAAACAACTCTGCAGCTGCCAAGACTGCAACGAATATTACTATTTCTGCTCCTGCTACTACTTTGATAACACAAATATATGATTACTTATACTGTCGCTACTGTTAATAGCACTACAGCTGCATCTAATATTACTACTTTTACTTCTACCTCTAATACTACACCACTGTTAGTCGCTGTTACATTTATACTGCTAATAGTACTACATACTACTGCTGCACTTACTTGTACTTCAAGTACATTTTGATTCTAATACTTTTATACTTAATAATTTTAAAATGCCTCACTTTTCCTTGATACAGAGTATTTTTACACAGTGGCATTGCTACTTCCTCTTAAATAATTAATATGAGTGCTTCTTCCACTACTGCTACATGTACTACTGCTGCTGCTACAGATGCCATCTCTAGTACTATAGTATTGTTATTTAAAGTATTACTTTTACGACCCTGCAATGAGAAAGAACAGTGTGGACAGTCTGTGGCATCTACTTTTCTACACAGAAATTCACACATTTGGTGAATAGTGACTCAAACAGACGTGAAAAAAAAGTTCGGACTGTTACAGTGCCATCATCAGGTCAGTTTTTGGTAAGCGTATTTCCTGACTGATCAATAGCATTTTAAAATTTTCTGCTATGGTTTTGTCAAACTTTTCTCAGACTTTAAACTCCAGTGACGACATCAGCTCCTCACCTGTCTTTTTCATGCTGGGCATGGCCTGACTGCTGGGTGAAAATACCAGTAGAGGCGGAGGATGTCTCCTCTGGATGCTCTGACTGGCGAGAAACCAGAGGAAGGCGATGATGAAAATCACCATGGAAGAGTAGAGCTTCCTCCTCAACATCATGGCTGGACGGATGGCAGGTGTGTAGCGCCAGGAGGAAAGGTGCGTTGTTGAGCTGTAAATCAAATGTTCAGCCTGCTATGTCGGCATGGTTACACGGCATGATGTACCGTCATCTGGACATTTTCCTTTGTGCCGTTATCACTCCACTCAGTTTTATCTCCATGAAACCTGAGTCGCGTGCACGTTGCTGCTTTCCTATAGGTGGAGACAGGATCTGTGGGCACACAGAAAGACACAATGTCAGCATCACCAAAAATAAAGTGAAAAGCCTATTTTAGTTAGACAATGAGCTACTAAAGTCAGGAAGGAGATACAGAGTCCCAGACATAATCGTTATAAGCATTCATTTTGCCGCTCTCTGTTAAACTTAGTACCGACGGCCTTCAAAAGTTACACCGTCAGTTTTAGATAAAGCTCTTTATTCAATGGAATAAGGCTGGGTTGCCAAACCATCCTGTAATTCATTGACACAGTTTTTAGTCATATTTCTCAGGTGGTACACAGCTGGATCTGGACTATACAAGCAGATGTCTTGTTTTTATGTTGTGATGTTTTAATTTGTAAGTGTGTTGTTCACTGGGTATTGATTGGAGATGACCAATGGTCTTTAAAAACAGAGCCACTGTTATCCCTTTTATGTTGCCTGGAAATAACACGATAACGTGGCCTGTACATCATTTTACAACAGCAGAAACTACAGCCATCAAAAAGTTCTGTGTAGAACTACTTTGAGAAAACAAATGAAAATGAAGGGCAGTACAAACTCTGCCAGGTTAAGTTAGCATATAATACATCGACAACCGTGCACAGCCATTTGAAGGTGAGGGGTCCAGCAGAATGTGGGGGGTGCTGTAAAATGATAACCTAATAATTAAAAACAAATTTATACAAAATTAATAATACTACAATAACATACTAATAACCATAAAATCAAACTATTTACAATAACATTTCTAACAAGCTGATTATCAATAAAAACCTTTTTCTAACAAACTATCATCTATTCTGTAACAAACCTTTTCAGACAAACTAATTATCCATACTTCAACCACTTACTTTGGGCAACCTGATCACTTGTGAAAACAGTGTGCACAACAATAACAGAACCAAAGTTTCAAACCAAATAAATCCCAAAAGTTCAACAAGGAAACCCTGGAAGCCTTTGTTTAAACCAGACAGACATACTGTTGATGACTAAAGAGTTTTTTTCTAACAGAATGACATCATCTTCTACAGCAAACACAGATTCTACCTTGGAAAACCACAGAAAGCGAGGGAGAAGTTTTTCCTGACGAACAGTCGCCCTTCTCCTCCCGTCTGCTCCTGCAGGAATGTCTCCCTGCAGACACACACTGAATACTGACCAGATCTGGGCTCAGTTCAGCGTCTCCTGTTTCAGCTCTCTCTCTCTCCTCCTGCCTGCTTCACTGTCTCTTCCTCTCATTGAGTGTTTCTTCACTTCTCTGCTGTGTAACTGATGAATCATGTATTTCATAATGTCTGTCCTAACTGATGCAACACAAACACAGACAGTTGCTTATAGTTCTTTTGTCAGACGTACAGATCCACTATATTTAACGAGATGGTGAATCTCAAAAAAAGATCTTAAACTTGGGAGTAACACTCTTGAGTTGGTTGTTCACTTTTTTTAAATCCACTTTGGCATAAAACTGCAGCAATTTTGTGATTTGACCGATCAGACTGATCAAGGTCCAATCCCTGACAGATTTTGTAATCAGGGGTAGGTAAAATGTTAACTCATGTAGTGTCCTTGCTACTTAGAGCTGAAGTAAGAGCACCGGTTGCGCTTCAGTAACCGCACCTTTAAAGCACACTAATGAACATGTTAGGTCTTAGCTGGAGGAAGTTAAACAGTACTGATTGATTGATTTTATTCTTTCAAACATGCAGAACAGAACAAATGACAACAACACACATATCCAACCAATGCTAATTCAAAATCAGTTTGCTTACACCTATTACATGTTTGAATGGAGTAGGAAGAAGTCAGACTTATCCAGTCCTACCCCATAACATCATATTATACAAAATTTCATGCATCATTGGCTGCAAGCAGTATCTCTACTTAGATAAAACAGAGT